CCCTGGTAGCCCACGAGAATCAGTTGAAATTTTAACGTAAACAAGCTTCTACTGAAGCCAAGCTTTGAGCTGCAAAGTCAAAATAAGTCAGCTTGAAAAAAAGTTGAACTACTCAAAAAGGAGATTTGATAACTTTCAACTATCTGTTCAAAAGTAAAGCAACAAAGTTTGCTAAAGACTCTCCGAGCCTTATTAATACGCCTGCAAGGTTAAATGCTCAATCTCATCTAACATGACCAAATGCACTTTTTCAGCGTCAATCATCTTCATGATCTTCATGTACTGTAGCACACTGTTCCTCATGAACATATTCGTCATGATCATTCTTTTCGAATTCGAAGAAGTGAGTCCAAACCTTTGTTCAGTCAGTGGCTCACGCAGAATCTGGTAATTTGTTGTCCTCCATGTACCTTTACGACGAGAATTGTAAATGCATAACTTGGACAAAATCATAAATAATCTAGATGCATGTATTTTTTGAGGTCCGCAACGATAGCTCGCGTCAAACAAACGCCTACGACATCCTCGATCATATCCAAACAAAGGTACAGAATTATCAGCCGTGCAGAAATTCTCTCAAAATGATCGTTCTAGATCCTTCGTTCGATGGGCATGTTCGGAAGGGAGAATATGCCTGCCTGCTATGTTCAAGACTCGATGAAAGATTATGAGATGTTGAACACCCTCCAAGCAAAGGCATGTTTATTCAAAATATCAAAATAATACTGAGGATTTTAAAAACAGCAGAAAAGCTTGGAAGTATTTCAAGTCCAACAAAATATACAGAAAAGGTGAACTGCTACTCATATTATATGTAGAAGGGCGCCTTATTCAGAGCATGCCTTTTCATTTTACGCGTGATTTGTCACTTGTGCTTGAGAAATGCTCACCTAATTTTCGGCTCAAAACAACTACTCCAACCAAACTATTGAGACTAATTTAGGAGTAAGATGGCACGCACCAAAAACTGCTATTATCACAAATAACCGTTATAATAATTAATTTTTCCAGGCCGAGCTGTTGCTCCACAGAGTGCGCAGATGGCAGATCGACGATGACGATGATTTTATAGTGCCACCGCCTCGTGCACAAGACGTCCCGAATCGGCTTAGCTTCGATATATTTTAGTTTTGAGCATTTTTGCTGTAGAAATGTTAGAGTTTGTTAGTTTCTCGGTTAGGAAATAGTTAGTGACCTCACCCTGTAGTTAGCAATAAATAGTTTTAGTGGGGACTCAATTCGCATACAAATCAAATG